GGTTAAAGGTTAAGGGGGCATTGTGAAGTGAGCCATATAACTCTAGAATGGAGCGAGTAGGCGCACGAGGCGCCCCATGCCATCTAAATCTATCAAGATCTATTGTAGCGGCCGCTTGATCAAGACTTTGAATGATTAGATCATCATTATTCTACCCGACTGGGAATCGCACCCGAAATTTTTTACCTAAAATTTGGATCATATATTGTTGAGTACATGAGAAAATGATTCCCAAAATTTCAAGTAGTTTTTCCACGCGAATTTTTGAGATATGCATCGACAAAAACTTAAAAAAGACAAAAATTGAATGTTTGACGATGGATATCTCAAAAATTCGCATGGAAAAAATACTTGAAATTGTGGGAGTCGTTTTTACATGGCCTTAACATATGATCCAAATTTTAGGTCTTCAGTTCATTGCGAAATTTTCACCAAGTATAACTCACTGAGGAAGTACCTTAAGGGTGCCAAGTGAATTTGGCGATGACCTTGAAAACTGACATTCACCAACAAAGTTATAATTTTTTTAATTAATAGTATTAGACAGATGGTGAACATCGGTGACAATTTTAAAATTTTAGAACTTATGGATATCGAGAAATTAAATAAACAAAATCAGTCTTATACACGACCTCTTATGGAGTTTTGATTAAATTGAACGTTTCAACCCCCTAGGAACTCAAGAAAAATTTGAAAAAATTTGAAGATATGGGGAATGATGTGTTCAATGTGATGGCGACAAAAAACAATGGGGTACCGGGGTGAATAAGAGAGATATTTCAACCCGCCGTACCCATTTGATCCCATGCTTTCTCGAGGTTCGTCACGCGAAATAGAGGATTTTCCGCATTTATTTTCTCGATGTCTAGTTCCGGTTGCGGGTTTGAAATTTCGTCGGATGGATGAATACATATTTCTCCAATGATGAAGGGAAAGAAAACATTTTTTTTGAATCTTTTTCAAATTCATGGCACTCTTAAGTGGAAGGTGTGAACACAAAAATGTGAATATCTCACAAAATAAATGCGACAAAGTGGGCCCTTTTCACGTGGACGTACAAATTTCATGATTCCTTACATTAACGTGAACTTTTACATTCCCTGTTCTACAGAACTAGAGCAGTCTCTTGCAAGCAAACAACCCTAGTCTCTCCCATTCATCTCCTCCTCTTCGGATCGAGGAAAGTCGAGTACATCGACAGCTACGTCAGGCTCGACAACTGGATCAATCTGGAGATGAATCCTGAGCACGCAGCGGCTATTGTGGCATTGAGGCCTGCACTGGAGGGGCTTGTGGTGAGGGCTGCCAAGGATCCTGAGACCATCCTGGAGCTCAGTCCTGTTCAGGAGAAGGTGTTGGCTGTGATCAAGGCACTCTGTGGGATGAATGCTGGACGCTACGAGATGGAGCCCATCACTGGTGGGGGATTCATGTCGAGGAGACCTCCTAGGGGACATATCAGTGGCTTCACTGGGAGTAGGGGCGGTGGATTTGGGGGAGGGGGGTATGGAGGTGGTGGCAATGGGGGTGGCTATGGTGAAGGGGGCAATGGGGGTTATGGGGGTGGTGTACCACCCGCCAAGTTCATGAGGGGTGGCGGAGGGTTCAGAGGGGGATTTAGGGGGGGATTCGGGGGGAGGGGAGGAGGTGGCCCTGCAGGGGGATTTTATAATAGGTATTGAGGAGAGGAGGTTTGGGAGACAATGAAGATGATGGGGACGAGAATTTTTGGGGTTGTCAAGAGGAACACTCGAGGTGTATGAAGGGTTTTGATCTTGTGGAAGAAGGGAATTCAAATGACTTTCTGTACTTTTTAGTTTTCATTGATTCAGTAGTAAAGAGGTGGGTTGTGAGTGGAGAGAACGGAACAAGTCGATTTTTAATGTCACGATGCATAGGTTTACTTCAAGTTTAGGTATTTATAGATGAAAAATTCAGTGGCGAAGTTCTCCCAGTTGAGTTTTTGAGGGATATTTCCGAATTCGAGGGAGATAGCGACATTTTTGTGATTACATTTGTTGTAGGTCTCAATGGGTTTTACAAAAAAGGTTATAACAAAAATTTTGGTATCTCCGTTGGATTTCGAGATATTCACTGAAAACTGGGCAATAGTCGAAATTGGCTTGGACTGTTTTACCACTTCGCTACTGAATTTAAGACTTACAAAACGGTTTGTATTGAAATTTTGTCGTCTTGGTTGGTTCAGGAATATCTGTTCAAAGAAGTTATTATTTCTGAAGTTAGTCTGGCCTGACTTGGTCTTCTACTACTTCACTACTACTGAAGTTATTTGGAGAATAGTGTGGGAGGTAGGGGCGATGAAGATGACGAAGGAGAACCTGAAGATGACGGAGACGAAAATTTTTGGTGTATTTGAGGAGGAATATTGAAGGTGTATGATTATCTTTTGGAACAGTGGAATAAAGATGACTTTCTGTATTTATTTCTTCTCCTTTTCTCATTGAATCAGTTGTAGAGGAATTTCTGGTGAGGGAACAGAATAGAACAAGTTCATTTTTAATGTCTTGTTGATGAATATGAACTCAGCAGGCAAAAAAGAACAAGATGAGTCGACGTTCCTTCGAGTTTAGGTATTCAAAGATATCTTGAAATCCGAGAGGAGTAGAATTTTTTCAATGACTCTCTAGAGAGGAAACTCAATAATTAAAGCGATTTCTAATTAAATTTCGCCGTCTTTCTTAGATTTGGAGATATCTATTCAACAACTACCATTTTTGGATTCCAAAGGACCTGAATGACTGATTTTAGGAATAAACGCACGGAGAGAAAAATTCAATAAAAATTACCAGAAAAAAAAACGTAAAAATTACGTTGCGAAACGTAATCCGCGAGCGAAGTAAAATTCAATAAAAAGTGTGAGTCGGAACTTAAATTGTACGAATCGTCACGTAAATTCTACGATTTGTTCCGTAAAAATTAACCAGCCGTCTGATGACTCAGCGCTGTTGGGGACAACAAGTCGTTCCGTAATTTTTCCCCAACGATTGAGAAATTTGACGGAACGGAACGTAGAAATAACTCACCAGCTTCATAAAAATTGTTGAACGTTCAAGAATTTTTGATTTTGGAGGCATAATAAGTCGGCAAGTTTCTGTAAGATTTTACTTCTTCGGGAAAAATTATCTGATAATCTCGTACTTTGTTCTGTGATGAACCTGAGAATCATAGATCGGTTTCAATCATTATTTTTTAGTAATATTATGAGAAGTTCACCTTATAGTAATTGAAATTTGGAAATTAATATAATAATTGGTAATTTAATTTCTGAATTATTAGTTGTTAAAATAGTTCGGAATTTGAATATTTCAATTGATGCTCGACAAAATAATTCGGAATTTGAAAATTTAAATTGCTAGCTATTTTCAAAAATAAAAAAATTGGTGAGTAATATTAACAATTGACTTACTCCAAATTTGACTGTAATTCAAAATTTCGATTATGCCGACGTCTGCTGAGAATTCACTGAACGTTTCAAATTTCTTCTCTCGCATTCCTGTAAAAATTATCTCAAGACGATTCTCCATTACGGATTACGTCAATTGTTCCGTAATTTTTACTGAATATTCCTCTCCGTGCAGAGACATATTCTGGGGAAACTCACTTTACCACAAAATGAGTTCCTTGACAACTATTTTTTCCTTAAAATTCCTCGTTATTAAAATAATTTCACTATCATCGTCAGCTTGTCTCAGCGGTGTTTCATTTACTCTGTTAATTTCTGTTCATTTGATTCTGGAGTGTCGAATGCGCGAGGAATGATTAGAAAGTGAAAATCATCGACTACTATTCCACTATCCGTCGATGAAGATGAATCAAATTAGTTTTGATCCCTCAGCGGATTAAAACAGTATCGGAAGCTGAATATTTTACTCGTAAGTTGCGATTACCGCATGAAACATTGTACCACTTGTACTCATCATTAATAAATTTTCATCAATGCATTCAAATAAATATTTCTTCTAATTTTTTTCCTTTTCTTCAACTATTTATTACAAAAATCATAGTTTTCTTACAAAATGATATCCCCTTACCCCATTGTATATGCAAGATTTAACACTTACGGACTAATGTACATCAACTTCGACAGTCAAACTGCATTCGTTGATAATTGCATTGTTTTTGGCGTGGACACGTCATTAATTTCATGTTAGGGGTCATTCGCAAAGTTACTCCTAACGACCACCCAGCAAACAGTATGTCGACAATTTGTCGACAAATTGCCGATGTTCCGTTTGATTTGTAGATGGCACTGTCAAAAATTGTTTTCTGGGCAGTGGCATCGGTCGGAATTCTAAAAAATTCTCCGGTTTTCTGGAAAATTCAGCAAAATTTTTCAACTTTTTAGAAAATACGAGAAGTCTTCGGCTTTACAAAAAACTTGAGAATATTCTCGCACTTTCTAGATTCGTTTACTACAGTAGAGGCTTCCTATAAGATACCTTAGGGACAGTAGGAGAGTGGAATTCCGGGAACCCCTATGCCCCCACTACGCGCGCCCACAGAGAGGAGAAAAATAGGGACCAGCGGGTTTCAAATAAGATACCTCGCTCGTTGTGCCCGAATTCAATGAAATTTTCATTTTTACTGAATGAATATCGATAACTAATCCCCAGAACTAAAATTTGATCATCATATATTAATTTGTACTAAACTTCGGGATAGAAATGAGGAAACGATGACTCATGGTACACTTTTATAGAACGGTAGGATAATTTTTATCAAAAATGTCTCTCCGTGTACGCGCCCCCATCGAAAGGAGAAAAATAGGGACCAGCGGGCTTCAAATAAGATACCTCGCTCGTTGTGCCCGAATTCAATGAAATTTTCATTTTTACTGAATGAATATCGATAACTAATCCCCAGAACTAAAATTTGATCATCATATATTAATTTGTACTAAACTTCGGGATAGAAATGAGGAAACGATGACTCATGGTACACTTTTATAGAACGGTAGGATAATTTTTATCAAAAATGTCTCTCCGTGTACGCGCCCCCATCGAAAGGAGAAAAATAGGGACCAGCGGGCTTCAAATAAGATACCTCGCTCGTTGTGCCCGAATTCAATGAAATTTTCATTTTTACTGAATGAATATCGATAACTAATCCCCAGAACTAAAATTTGATCATCATATATTAATTTGTACTAAACTTCGGGATAGAAATGAGGAAACGATGACTCATGGTACACTTTTATAGAACGGTAGGATAATTTTGATCAAAAATGTCTCTCCGTGTACGCGCCCCCATCGAAAGGAGAAAAATAAGGATCAGCCCGCTTCAAATAAGATACCTCGCTCGTTGCGCCCGAATTCAATGAAATTTTCATTTTTACTGAATGAATATCGATAACTAATCAATTTATATGTATTTAATGTTTTGAATTTGTATCGCTCGCGTTCCCTTTTCTCTCTGAACAAAACCCCGCGTGAAAGAATGGCAGCTGATGTTGGGGGATTGTTGGTGGACTCGAGAATAATCACAGACGAAAAATTACGATTTTTCGATGGGAAAAGGGAAACAAAATCGATGTTTATTTCTATTACTTGAAAAAAGTGGTGTGACTCCCCCTTAAGGTCATTAGACCCTCATGATCACTTCGTTCGTCCCTCCATTTGACCCTTAACACCGTTTGATCCTTAAAACTACTCTCTTCCCGTTGAAAAATGACCGGGGCCATAGGTATCTTATAAGAAGCCCACGGAACATAAACACTCGGGAGACGATAAAAGTGCCGAGAGTGGGGGTAGGCCTCGAGCGCTCGGAGCGCGAGGTATCTTATAGAGAGGTATCTCATACATGGAGAGAAATATTCAAGAAAAATTACGGAACATTTCACGTAATCCGCAAGCGAGAATCATTTTCAGTGAATTTCTATAGAAATATAAGACAATAAATCAGAAACGTTCAGTAATATTTCGGGTCTGTCACCGAAAAAATANTTTCGGGTCTGTCACCGAAAAAATACGAAAAAGTCACGTAATTTTTCTGGAAGTTGTAAAATCTAACAGAAACTTCAAGACTTATTATGCCTCAGAACATGAAAATTCTTGGATGTTTAAGAATTTTTACGAAAAGTTTCGGAAAATTTACGGAACGTGTTGTTAAAATCTCCCCCTCACGGTGACTCATGGCTAGCCGTGAGGCGTCGGACGGATGAGTAATTTTTACGGAACAGATCGTAGAATTTACGTGACGATTGACACTTTTAATTGAATTTTACGTCGCTCCCAGATTACGTTTCGAAACGTAATTTTTACGTTTTTTTTCTGGTAATTTTTATTGAATATTTCTCTCCGTGTACGAAGTCTCTACTGTATTTCGTGAATCTTTTTGAAAAATATACGTTCTAATATTTTCCATGTTTTTTTTTTCAAATCTTGAAAACAATTTTGGAGAATCAACGAAAATAGTTGAATCTCTTGCGAATCTTTAAACGGCAAGAGTCAAGCCGCAGACATTTTTACGGCGACTCCCTGCTGCGAATATTCCTCCATTGGCCACATAAACAATTCTCTCCGATCATGGAAACATTTCAGTAGCGAAGCGGTAAACCGGGTTAAGTCAATTTTGACTTTTGGTCAGTATTTGATTGATATCTTGGAATCTAAGAGAGATCGCAAATTTTTTCTCATCACCTTTTTTATAGCCCTTAATTGGCTCTACAAAAAAGGTCATGATAAACATTTTTCTATCTCCGTTAGATTCCGAGATATTCGTCGAAAACTGGACAATAGTCAAAATCGACTTAAACCGGTTTACCGCTTCGCTACTGATTTCATTCGTGGGAAGCTTGAAAATGTCCTCATGTCGATGACGGATACCGTGGATATGGCCAGCAGTACGGAGGTGATGGTTGCGCTGTCCGCGGTCCTAATGAGGGACCAGGGGGAGGCGGCCTAATGTCGGCAGTTGACGAGGCAGGTACACACAGGTGATGATGAGAGTGACAGGATGCCGAGCCGCGGAGAGGTGTGGACGAGTCGAGAGTGATGCCGGCCTGTGCCTGACAGGCCACCATCAGTCCGTGAAAATCGAATTTGTAGGCGTAACGTTTGCCATGAACTTTTGTCATTATGTTTTTGTCGTAATAGTATCTGGGAATTTGATGGAAAAGCTGCCATTAAAATCAAATAAAAAAAGTTGAATTATAACTAATTTAATTAAGGCCCGGGTGGATTATCTTTCGAACGTGATCTTGATTGTTTTTTTTATTTTGATAATCTGGAATAATCTCCAATTGCTATTCAGTTTTATCGCTCATTTTGATTTCCGGCTGAATTTAAATTTTCTTTGGCCCTCACACGGAGAGAAATATTTGATGAAAATTATCCTACCGTTCTATAAAACTGTATCATGAGTCATCGTTTCCTCATTTCTATCCGGAAATTTAGTAAAAATTACTATATGATGATCAAATTTTATTCTACGTTAGAGAAATTTTATCCTAACGCATAATAAATTTTACCCTACCGGTACAGTCATTTTTATTTTTATCAGGATAAAATTTCTCTAACGTAGAATAAAATATGATCATCATATATTAATTTTTACGGAATTTCGGGATGGAAATGAGGAAAAGATAACTCATGATACACTTTTATAGAACGGTAGGATAATTTTTATCAAATATTTCTCTCCGTGTAGCCTTATTTTTAAGGATGTTTAGCCAGTGTCCGTAAATTGTCGGTAAATGTGTTTTTTTCATGGTCAAGGAAAATTCTGTTATTTTTTCGGCTGACAGCAAAACATATCAAACTAAGTTTTCTACAATGAGAGAAAAATCTGAAGTTCGATTTTCAATAAGAAAATAGTTGAGGCATTTTGGTGAACGATACGATTTTTTTTTGTATGCGGCACATAACATTATAGTAACTTCACAAGCGTAATTTTCGCAAATCAAAGTGCAGTTAAACTAACCAAAGTTCAAAAGTAACAACAACAAATCTATCGTGGGGAGAACTATAAAATAGTTGCAATGACTACATTCCATTGTAGTGATTACTTCTCCGGCACTAGTTACCGTAACCCATGAAAAATTGTTGAGGACTTTTTGACTATAATTCGATGGTGATGGAATATAGTCAGAAGAATTATATTTTTCTCTCAGTGTAACGTTAAAAAAAATAATCGCAATACTCTCGGCAGAAATGAGTAAACTAATTTTTCCTGATACACGGGCTCTTATGAAATTCATGTTCAAATTGATAATTCACCTACTAGAAGACTAAAAATAGATGTGTAAAATTGCACTGAATCCAATGGCCAGAGAAAAATCTGGGGTAGCCGGGCAAAAAGAGGAAATATTTGAATGATTCTATCCCATATAAGCGCATATGTTAGCGCATGCATTTGGTGCATTTTGTCTATTTCATTTCTAAATCACGAACATGGGTTGGTGGATTGAAATTAGTATCAAAGTGAAGGGAATATCTTCATCTCTCAGTTTAAAAAAAATCAATGTTTTCAAGCACTTGCGATTCTGGATAAACATCCTTAACAGCAGGAATGGGTGTGATAAATTCATTTCTATTTAATTGTATTGGAACGTGTAAAGTATCCGTGCATCTTGAATTTTGTAGTTCGAATACGAAATAGAAAAAATAAAATGGAAAAATCGAGTTCGCGGGGACCCATATATAACTCCCGTATTTCAGTATTTTTTTTATCATCTCCTAAACTGTGTAATACAGTCCGTTAGAATTTTTCCAACAGACGGGGACTATTATAAACATTATCTAAGAAAAACATGGGGAGAGTCTTAAGGGTGCCAAGTGAATTTGGCGTTGACCTTGAAAATTGACATTCACCAACAAAGTTATAATTTTTTAAATTAATAGCATTAGACAGATGGTGAACATCGGTGACAATTTTAAAATTTTAGAACTTATGGATATCGAGAAATTAAATAAACAAAATCAGTCTTATACACGGCCTCTTATGGAGTTTTGATTAAATTGAACGTTTCAACCCCCTAGGAACTCAAGAAAAATTTGAAAAAATTTGAAGATATGGGGAATGATGTGTTCAATGTGATGGCGACAAAAAACAATGGGGTACCGGGGTGAATAAGAGAGATATTTCAACCCGCCGTACCCATTTGATCCCATGCTTTCTCGAGGTTCGTCACGCGAAATAGAGGATTTTCCGCATTTATTTTCTCGATGTCTAGTTCCGGTTGCGGGTTTGAAATTTCGTCGGATGGATGAATACATATTTCTCCAATGATGGAGGGAAAGAAAAAATTTTTTTAAAATCTTTCTTCAAATTCACTTGGCACACTTAAGAAAAAGGTGTTTTCTAGGGATTGGTAATTTTTTTTTCTTTCCTTCAAATCAGGAACACTGAATGTGTTGAATTAAAAGTGAGTTTCTTGAATCGTAACCGCCACAGGGCTTTTATAGACAACAAGTGTCGTTGAACCGCAATTTGATCAGATTTGCTAATCACCGCAAACCACAAATGACTTTGAATTTTTGTTTTTCCATCCATTCGGCAGCAAAAATAAAAATTATCAATTTTCTGTCAGTGGTCCGTTTTGCCCGACCCTCCCCGCCAGTGTCTCATCAACCTCTTACTCACCTGAGCGCTCTGGAGAGTTTATCATAATTCATATTTGGTTTACTCTTGCGTTCACCCCATCTGCGTGCAACCTCATCCGGATCAGTGAGCTTGAATTCACCATTCGTACCCTCCCACGCAATACAAGTGGAATTGGACGAATCCGAGAGTAGCTCGAGGAGGAATTGCCATAGCTGTACTTGTCCGCCACCGACCGCCCCCGTGTTAGCGCTGCCACTAGATGAGCCAATCAGCGTACAGGTCCGCTGGAGGAGGCTGAACCTTTCTGATTTTTTACCAAGAAGAGAAGGTTAAATACACATGATACAGATACTCACATGGAGTATCAAACTTGGGGGATGGGTGATGCATTGAACATGAGGGAAAAACCATTTCTTCAGTTTTAGAAGTGAAAAAGTTATCAGGAATAATTGAAAAAAAAAAGAGAGAAAATTTTCCTAATTTGTAGACCGTATTTACTTGAGAGAAGTAGGGGAGGGGAGGGCAAAACGGACCACTGACAGGAAATTGGCAAATTTCTACTGCAATCATCTACGCGTCCATCTGCTTCGAACGCACAGTCGAAATTATCAATCGGTCAATGTCGGGTGCCAACTTCACACAGCTCATTTGACGGATTACATATCAGTAGCGAAATGGTAAAACGGGACTAGTCAATTTTGACTATTGACCAGTTTTCAATGAATATCTCGGAATCTAAGGGAGATAGCAAAATTTTTGTTATAACCTTTTTTGTAGAGCCGATTGAGAGCTACGACAAATGTATCCACAAAAATTTCGCTATCTCCCTTAGATTCGAAAATATTCTTCAAAAACTCAACTGGGAGATGCGTCGACTTTAACCGTTTTACCACTTCGCTACTGATATGACTGCTACTCTTCACGTATTTTTTTCTTCGATTTTCATTTCTATGAATTTTATTGCTAACAGGCTTCCGAATGGTTCCCAATGCTTGTTTTCAAAAAATAAAACCGTATATTTATGCTATTGGGATTTCTCAGTTATTCTGATGTGAAAATGAAAGGTGAAATATAGAGGCGTCAATTTTTTTTCATCACGCTGTGACGAAAAGTGAACTTTTCGGCACGCTCCGCGTGCCTAAAAGTCCAATTTCCGCCACATTGTGATGAAAAATATTGTTCGTAACTCGTGAAAAAATGTTTTTTGCACTCGTTACGAAATATACTATTTTGCACTCGTTACGAAATATACTATTTTCTCAAGAATTTCTGAATTTTCTGTCAGTGGTACGTTTTGCCCTACCCTCCCCTAAATTATTTTCAATGGCTTAAAGTATATCCCTAGAAAATAGTATTTTTCCGGCCTGTTGCGATGGGGTTTTTTACTCGTGTGGCGTTGGCCTCCGAGCCGTAGGCGAGGACTGGCCAACCACACGAGTAAAAAAACCCCATCGCAACAGCCCAGGAACAATATTTTTCTGTAGTGATTTTCAAGTTTTCGAGTTCGGGAAGTATGTAATACCAATTCCCAGACGAGAAATCCTGAGAAGCAGTACAGAAAAAGCTTTTTCTTACGATTGTCCCCATGGTCAAAGCATATTTTTTTAGTGACTACACGTGTGAAATAGTATATTTCGTCATTAGGCCGAAAAAAAATTTTCTGGCGAATATGAGGTTCGCAGCACGAGCCGAAGGCGAGTGCTCCAATCATATTCGTCAGTTTTTTTTGGCGGTATGACGAACAATATTTTTTGTCATGACGGCCGTAGGCAGAGTCCGTGAAACGCTGCCTTACGGTCGGAATGACAAAAAAAATCTCACGAAGGCCATTTTTATTATTGCAGGACTTTCAAATTTCAGTACTCCCCCTTCTTAATACATAATTCCATAATTAATGTTGGATTATATAGCTCTTTACTGAGAACTTATTTGATGAGATTATGCGTACAAAAACGAATCGACGTAGAGAGTGCCGGAGAGTTAATATAAACATAAACAATAACTCCATGGGGAGAAAGAACTGAGAGTTCTTTGTCGATAGGTGACGATATTCTTTTTGGTCTTTGTGACCGGTATTTAGTCTGCTGGAGCAATCCGTAGAGTACAGACGTTTCTTCCTCGTGCCATATTAACAAAGAAAGACAATCAAAAGTAAATTCATTGCGTTTAAGAATTATTTCATGACCCATTTCCATTAATTAATATAGTCCGAAAACGACGTGGACTTGTTTCCACTCGTTTCGGTGTGCACTCAACACGGAGATAAATATTCAATAAAAATTACGTATCTTTTCCGTAATTCCGGAGTGCAATGTGGTTGTAGGAAATTTTACGGAACTGTCACGGAATTTTTCCGGAGCGTTCCGTAATTTTTATCTGAATCTCTTGTGAAAAATTACGATACCATCACTTAAATTTTCTGAGTCGATTCCGTAATCGGTGAATGAACGGTGAGTGCCGTAATTTTTACTGAACATTTCTCTCCGTGAAAATCGAAATTTACTTAGAATTTCGCACGATAACCGGTGCAGCGTACCCCATAGTTTTTGTAGTATATATATATATACCTGTAATAATAATAATAATAATAATGAAATGTAATAATCATAAAACTGAAAATTTGAAAATCAATTATTTGAAACAATAATAATTCTTTGCAGTAAAATATAATAATAGTAGCGCCAATTGAGGGTTATAAAAAAGGTCGTGATAAAAATTTTTCTATCTCTTTTAGATTCCGAGATATTCGTCAAAAACTGACCAATAGTCAAAATCTAACCCGGTTTACCGCTTCGCTACTGAATTATCCTGGTTCCCCTCCCACCTGCTCTAAAATCCTATTCAACAATATCCTGTGACGTCACAAGATGTGAAGCGCTATATAAACTCCCGTCTTCTGTGAGAAATCTCCATAATTCAGGAGAAATAAGGGAGATAATCTGTACTTGGCTCACCGATTACGGAATCGACTAAATTTAAGTGACGGTATCGTAATTTTCCACAGGAGATTTAATTAAAAATTTCGGAATGCTCTGGAAAAATTCCGTGATGGTTCCATAAAATTTCCTACAACCACATTTCGCTCCGGAATTACGGAAAAGATACGTAATTTTTATTGAATATTTCTCTCCGTGCACTGATAGAACGGATTAGCTATTGTTAACGAATGGATTTTGGTTGGAGGTGTGGGTCTATTCGGTCCCACGAAATGTTCATTCGTTAATAGTTAACGAATGTATATTTGAGGAGCCTTGTTTGACTTGACTTTCGCCATTCAAGTGAACCATTCGTTAACTATTAACGAATATTCATTTGGTCGTATTTAACTCTACCATTCGTTAATAGTTAACGAATCTCGTTTGGAATAAATGAATCATTCTAGGGGAGCATGGGGCAAAATGAAACACGGGGCAAAATGAAACAGTGGGAAAATCTCGTCATCTAAAGGAGATAGGACATTTTTGAAGAGGACCTTTTTTGTAGCTTGTAAAATTCTCTACAAAAAAGGTTTTTATGAAAATCGTCCTATCTCCCTTAGATCACAAGATTTTCTTGCTGTTTCATTTTGCCCCACCGTCCCCTATCAGTGTGCGATTTCATAACTTTTTGTGAACAGACCAGTGTTCGACCCGTTGTTGGCGAGTATTTTTTTTACAAAATCTGCATGATTCAGGAGAAATAAGGGAGATGAAATTTTTTATTATTTTTCCGGTAATCCCGGGGAAAAATGGTACCGAAAGCATATGTAAAATCGCCGCGCCAAAGGAATCGGAATCATGCCCCAAAAGTCATAAATCCCGCGTACTTAACTGATTGAGACACAAACTAACGCTCCATTGAGACTATCTGAGGTGTGTATCACCGCCGAACACAATAGAGACCGCCCAATTTGCCGCCCGCGGTGTCCTACAGTGATCGACCACCCAGTTCATAATAAATTCACCGGCTTCCCGGAACTGTCGAGTTATCGAGATAAAACGTGGAATGACAAAGTCACACCGCCGAAAACAAATTTTACTTCGAGCCTCCAGCGTGACTTAACGGCTCCTCTTCACTCACTCCCTGTTGAGTTGACAAAAAATAAGTAAGAGCTGCGTTCGGCGCCGTAAGTTGACGCGATATCAAGGAATTTCCGATTCTCACGTCTTGTGTGGCGCCAATTATAGATCATGACAGTCACTAAAAATACATGTGTCATCCGGGGTCTCCGGACACTTTCCACCATATGAAATTCGAAAATTTTTGAAAAAGTTGAAAAAAGAATGTATCGACACAACAGATCAATTTTTAAGAAAATGTAATTTAAACGTGTAGGAAAGAAATACCAAAGCACCTTGTATTTATCAAGATCAAAACTATTGTAAAACTTTAAACGTACACGGAGAGAAAAAATCCAGAAAAATTACCAGAAAAAAAAAGTAAAAATTACGTTCCGAAACTTAATCCGCGAGCGAAGTAAAATTCAATAAAAAGTGTGAGTCGAAACTGAAATTGTACGAATCGCCACGTAAATTAATTCTACGATTTGTTCCGTAAAAATTAACCAGTCGTCTGATGACTCACCGTTGTGGGTACAACAAGTCGTTCCGTAATTTTTCCCCAACGATTGAGAAATTTTACGGAATGAAACGTAGAAATAAATCACCAGCTTAATAAAAATTCTTGAACGTTCAAGAATTTTTAATTTTGTTGGCATAATAAGTAGGCAAGTTTCTGTAAGATTTTACTTCTTCGGGAAAAATGACGTGACAAGTTCGTACTTTGTTCGGTGATAAACCTGAAAATTCACTGAACGTCCCGAGTGGAAATTCAAATTAGGATAGAATAAGAGACTGACCAGTGAAAACTGATTTTGATCAATTTTGGATCAGAAATGTAACGCTTGTTTGGGTCCATGCCTGGTCAAAATTCTAGGATTCGATATTCCTGAACAGTACTGGATCCGATACGGATCCAATCGAGATTTGACTGATCAGAATAGGATCACAATTCACTCCACCACAATGGATACAGATACTTCATTCAGAATCTCATCAGATCCTGATCCGACAGTCTAATCAATAAATTCTGACCAGTATTGAACCTAAAACTAATGTAGATCCAAGCTAACTGAGTGAAATTTCCAATCGGGNTGGGTCCATGCCTGGTCAAAATTCTAGGATTCGATATTCCTGAACAGTACTGGATCCGATACGGATCCAATCGAGATTTGACTGATCAGAATAGGATCACAATTCACTCCACCACAATGGATACAGATACTTCATTCAGAATCTCATCAGATCCTGATCCGACAGTCTAATC